CCCAAAAACCTGTTCTCAAAGTTCATCAACTGCATTAAACACTCAGACTATATGGAATAGTTACCAGCACACCCCTGGCCTGCCCTGCCTACATCAGCTCATAACATGTCATGTCTCCCTTCTTTTTAGGTCTCAATCACCTTAGTCCATATCTGCACGAAGGGAAATTAATCACAAACATTCAAGTGGTCTCAAGTGAGAAAGGAAGGCACTCTGAGTCTCATCCTGCTCTCCCTAAATTACATATAAAGCACTTCCATGCTGGTCAGAGTATATGTATTCAACTACTTATCAATTCAAACTATGAATTATTATGAAATAATGAAAGAGGAAGGCACTCCTTTCTCACTTGAGAGTCTCACCCTGCTCTCCCTAAATTACATATAAAGCACTTCCATGCTGGTCAGAGTATATGTATTCAACTACTTATCAATTCAAACTATGAATTATTATGAAATAATGAAAGAGGGGGTTGGAATTAGATGATCTCTAACGTCCCTTCCAACCCAAACCATTCTATGAGTCTATAAAGGAAGGAACACAGCAAGGAGACCTCCAAGTCGCACCGATTGCAGTCATAAAGAAAACGAAGCAATGCCCCAGCCTGGTGCTGTGCTGAGCAGGCAGTGTCTGGGAAGGTGTGTGCTGCTGCCTGGCCAGCCTGCAGCCCAGGACCTGAGCACCGCCCCGCAGCCGAACACAAGCACGATGGAGCAATTCCTGCTTATTGGGACACGGCTGGCTCACAGAGGTCCATTCGGCTACGTGTGCTCTTTAAAAATCAACATCGCTGAACCAGGGAACATAAACAAAGGAGGTCAGAATCACCTGCAAGTACTTCACCAATGCAAGATCATTACTACTATTCACTTCAAACAGCAAAACAACCACGATTAGCAATAACTTAGCCATAAAAGTAGACAAAACACCTTTCCTGTATATCTGCAAGCAGCATCACAAGATTTACAACTAGCATGTGCAGTCACGATCACACTGAGTTCAGATTGCAGGAGCACGGCACAGTACCACCCATGGGGCATGGAGGAGCCAGCTGTGGCCATGCCATCACATCCCCAATCACAGCACACCCAGCGGCCACCTCTGCCATAAAGAGGTGTCCATGGCTCCCGTCAGTCATTTGAAAAAGCTTCTCCTCCATGTAAGGCCACTTAGTGCAAAGCAGCCACGCTCCTTCAATTTAAGGAGCGCAGTCCTGATGCTACTTCAGGCTGTTCTCCCACAGAAGCATGGGCTGACCAGCACCTTGCTACTTCACCCATCATCGTTCAGGGAGTCCTCCTGGTAACCTGTCACTGGTCCATGGCTCCCGTCAGTCATTTGAAAAAGCTTCTCCTCCATGTAAGGCCACTTAGTGCAAAGCAGCCACGCTCCTTCAATTTAAGGAGCGCAGTCCTGATGCTACTTCAGGCTGTTCTCCCACAGAAGCATGGGCTGACCAGCACCTTGCTACTTCACCCATCATCGTTCAGGGAGTCCTCCTGGTAACCTGTCACTGTTATCCGTGGGGCTGCCAAATATGAAACTCTTGGGGGGGGCCTAGAATGGTCTTGGTTGCAACAGAACAATGTTCTATACATTTAGCCTGTTTCAAAAGCCTCCAGTCAGTAACTGGGGCTCTTGCCACCAGTCCCTTCACAGGTAAGATTTCCCATTTCTTTTTAAACAGCCTGGATTTTTTTTTCCCCAAATTAAAAAGAGCATACAAAGATCTTACCTAACACAAACTGCTTTCCAGGGGAGGCAAGAGTTCATTAATGGAAGAAAATGGGAAAGGGAGGACTTAAAAAAGCCTTGGGAACTGTAGGGTGAGAGAAATGAGTTGTCCTTTATCAAAGCTGTGGTGAAAAAAACAGCTTCTGCAAGGTCACCGAAGAGCAGCGAAGCACTGAAGGCTCTCCAAGGGCACAAGTACCTCAACTCAAGGTCAACTGAGGCTTCTTAATAACTTCAACTGCTGGGAACAGCCCCCTCCTCATTGCAACATTAATTTCCAACAGAATATGTAAACAACTACCTTGTTACACCAAATTATTAAAGACAAGCACAGACAGGAGCAGTTTCTCTGGACATCTGACCGGCTGGGGCTTGCCCCCATAGCCATACCGCAGTAGGAGGTTGATGGGAGGCTACAAACTGCTGTGACCTCTTGTCCCCATGCAGCTAGTGACATTTGCTCAGGCATTTGCTCACCAGACAAAAAGGTTATTGCTCTTTAACCTGCCTGGGAAACCTTTTTTCCTAACACAACCCCAAGATTTTGAGAATCCCTCTCACATTCATATAAATACATATTAAGAAATCTACTTGAAAGTGCTCATGTTGAAATTTGTCTGCAACTCCTTTGTTTAAAGTTCTTTAGTGTTTTACAAAGGCTGTCTGCAGCAGTGGTAGAATTGCTCAAGTCCAGCTCCTGAAACATGAAATAAATAAAAAAAACAAAACAAAGCAAACAACAACAAACCAAGGGCCCTTACTGTATCAGCAGGAGAATGTCTATATATTTCTTTTCTGCATAAAAAGGAGACTGTTTCTTACATAGTTGTCAATGAGTTTTTCCAGCATGGGATGACACCTCTAATAAATGAATGTATTCATTACAGCAGAGATGCACTCAGTAAGCTTCTCTGGACAAACAAACGAGATCAACCTGAAAAAACATTGTTTGGCCAAACACAAGCATCGTTACTAAAATCAACATACCACGTTTTTATTTTTTTCCACAAATGCCTTGTTCCCCTTTAGTACAAAAGCATCCAGAAAAATCTATCCCTTTACTGAGTGCTGTGAACTAGCCACATTCGCAAGATTTAAGCCACCATGGCAATGTTGCTAGTCCACCAGAGCAGACTTATCACGGGCCATGCTGAAACCAAGGCCCCCAAGACTGCTGAAGTCATCTCATGCCTTATCAAGTGAATTCAGTACCTGACATGTTAATAAATACCAACTTGTTTTAATAAGTTTGTTCACATTTCAAGTAAACCAACAAACATGGATAAAATTTACTTCATCTCAGAATCACAGAATAAAATATCCTATGAAATAGTTACAATTTCACATTAATCCAACTTAGGAAAAGTAGCATCTGGAATGATTCTACTGATTTCTGTAACTCACTGATGAAAAAACCTACTCAAGTAAAACCAATTATTAATATTTAATCCTTATCTCAAAATATATTTCTGAAGTTATTGAACAAAAATAAATCAACTCTGTACTTAAAATAAATGACGTAAAATTACAACAGCTCTTCATTTATGAAACCAGTTGTATAATCTGCAACAAAAAGTTTTTCACTGGACTGTAAGCCTGGTTACAGACCTGTAAATAAAAGACTAGAGACAAAGTCTATGACACTGCCAGTATCCCAAGGGGAGATCTGCTGAGCTGGACTCAATTTTATCACAGAAACCTGCACCACCATAACTTAAGAGACAAAAAAAGTACATTACCATGGTTCTTCAAAGGATAGTATGGTTGCTATAGTGAAAAGCAAATATACAATTAACAATTTGTACAAAATATGGGCTGACAAATAAATGGTATTTTCAGAGTGAGCATATCGGAGATTTGGATTTTACCCTTTTGAAAATACATCAAGTACTGCTACAGAAAGAATGGAAACTGTGAAGATCAGCAAAACTCTACAAGTAGAACAAGTATTTACTTTCAGAAAAAAACCCGAACATCATTCTAAAGCAGTTGTGGCTGTCCAAATCTGTGACTCTGGAAAGAAACTGCTTCCTTCCTACATATGAAGCATCTGAGAAGTGACCAATACTTCTCTCTTTTACATGTATTTAAAATAAAGTTTTCACATTTCCATTGATCCGATGTTAACAGTCAGAAGAGCAAGGGCAGCTAGGAGGAGTTTGATTAGCCAAGCAGTAAATGTTCTCAACAAAGCTTTATTATGAATTGGTTATTTTGTTTCACAAATATAAGTGGCAGAAAAAATGAATTCATTATAATACAGGGATTCCAAACTAACTTTTTTTTTTTTTTTTTTTTACTAAGAGCAATCAAATACATCCTTCTGCTTTTCAGAGGAAGCTGTTCTAATGCAAAGCTGATCACACTCATGCTATATTTCATAACAGCCCATGGAGACAAAGCAAATTAACATTTTGGCCTCTTTTGAATATCATCTCATCTGGGGCCTAGGAAGAAAGCAGAATTTGTTAACAATTAGATGCGGCGCTTACTAATAAAATTATACTAATCTTCCAATGTTAGATTTTGAGATAAAGGCTTCCTGGTGGCAAAGCTATGGGAAGGTACCAAAAATAGTTGGGCATGTATTTAACTATGAACTAGAAGCTTCTTGTTTTATGTAATAACCACATAGCACAAAATTTTGATGATCTGGCATGTTTTCAACTTATTTTTACTTCACTAATTTTTAAGTCTAAACGGACAACAATGTCTAAAAGCAACATCAAATGAAGAGCAATAGGAATAGGAGATACAATCCTCAAAGTGAAAATCTGAAGAACTTTTTTTTTTAAATACAGGTTAAAAAAAATCACTATCATAATCCAGTAATGGAAATTTTATTTGATACAAAGCTCTTCTATTTGATGTGGAAGTACATAAACACATCCCTTAGGGGGAAAAAAAAAAAAAAAAACCAAACCAAAAAAACAACAAACCCAAACAACACAGTACTTCTGTACTGCTTTAGAATTGATTAACATGCTCCCATTTCTCATAGACTTTGTTAAAAAAAACAAAAATTACCAGCAGGAACCCTTAGAAGAGTGCCTTATCAGGAAAGGCCAGCCTGCCCACTTGCTATTTCAGTTCTTTCAGCAATGTCTTATTTGTATGCAATGAATAATCAGATGTTAGATATCATTAGAGTATGGCATAGTGAATAAATACTACCCACAGGCTGGGGTGGAACAGCAGCGCACAGGCTCAACTGATCTTTGCATGTGCTTAAATTACATGTTCTTAAAGGCTTAACAGTTTGCCTGGATTCCACATACCAACCTCACTGCCAGAAAAGTTGCAAACGACAAGAAAAAAATCATCAGTAAAACAAAAAAATAAATGCTGTAACACAGGCTTCAAAGAGCAAAGAGCTTCCACACGCCTCTTTATTTCAAGAGAGATGATCAGTTAAGGTGCTTTCAGATTCTGCACTGCAGACAGGTTGGCAGAGGTGGCCACTGAATAAGCTCTTAACATTCTTTAGCAGGTATCTAAGAGCAGTTCCTAAGGCAGAGCCCTTGAACTCCTAGTTTCTGTAGCGGGGCATGTGTGGAGCAGGGGCTCCCTCTAAGGGGGCTGAGGAGGAGACTGTCATCAGCTGTCCAGCGTGCATTCTCTCATTCACCCGCAGTTCACAGCCATCCTGCAGCATCCTTATAGCTATCCTTGCAATGTTTTTAGAGTCATCAAGTCCACTGTGAGGTCTCCCATCATAATTCATGCCCAGATTCTCAAGCATGATTGTCAGCTTGGTCTGGTTGCTCGGGACCTGATGGAGAAAGTGAACCACATTCAAGAATTAGGTTCTGTACCGAGTCTTTTTAATCTAACACAGTGCAGTAGAAACATACGCAGATTTTAATTCTACTTAAGTCACATATTACTTTCATGTTGCTTTTTGTCAGATCACTAACAATTTAACTTCAAAGCACCTGGGTGAGACAGACACTCTCATTTTTTGAGGAGACACAGTCAACAGGAGCTTGTCTAGACTCAGCATAATGTCAAGAGCCTCTCACCACTACCAGCACCAGCTCAGGATGTGCCAGCACTGGCAACGATGGAAGCCATGGCCCAGCTGGGTTTAACAAGCTTCATAAAATTACCAACCAAAGTGGCATTGCAGAGGGAATCAGATTTTCATTTTCCTTTTAAATACTAAGGGATTAAAGAAGCACCAGGCTCCCAATTCTCACCGACATCAAGCTTCTGAATGCCTTCAAACACCACAGGAACAGACCAGCAACACTCAGAGCAGCCCATGGATGACCAACAGCATGAAGAGACAAGGAAGCTTAACTGACTTACCCATGCAAAGTGCTACACCAGCAAAAGCCCCAAGTCCTCTCTTGATTAACTGCTAAATATACATTTGTTCTTTGGAGAGGCCAAAGAAAAACAACAGGATAACTTTAAAGGAAAGTTTTACTTTGCTCTCGTAGTGGTTGGGGTGGGGGAACACAGGACATGACAAGTTCCAGGATATTGCACCACGCTACTGGATTTAACAGCTACGCAGAATGGTGACAATACAGTTGCCAAAACTTGGCAATATGCAACTCCAATAATAACACCTAGAAACTGGGCAGGGGAGACATACCTGCAGGCTGTGGGATATTCCACAGGAAAGTTACAATACATTCCTTGTAATTGATTTTATCTATTCCTGTTACTTAACAACAGATTCAACAGCAGCACAGAACAGCTAAACAGAGGCACTGAACTCTGTTCCACTGAACAGAGGAACTGAAATGCTACAACTGTTTGTATTTATTAAAAACAAACAAAAAAAAATCACAAAAAGTCAAAAGAAACTGATTCATTCTAAGTTACAATCTTCGTTGCCTTTGATGAAAAAGCACTCACTGCTCAACAGAGGAGGAAAAAGAGTGTACGTCTAGGTTAAAGCTGACAGGACTAACAAGACTGCTCTGTGTTCTCACATGTTTCCACAAAAAGTCATGCAGAGAAGGCACGATAAGAGAGGGAGAAATGGAATAACTCTGTAATATTTGCCCAGCACAAAGTAAAGCTCTTCTCTTATTAAACACTAACCTCTTTTTTTTTTTAATCCTAGAGATTACATTTAGTATGAAACAGCCCTTCAAGAGAAGGTCATCAGCTAGGCTGAAATCACACTCAAACAGACATTTTAGTGTAGACTGACTAGGAATTCGCTAGAATCTCCAACAGCCCATTTTATGGTGATCTGACAGTGAAAGAAAGTAGCAATAAAGGTCCAGCACTGAACTTGGTATTACTTTTCTCTTGACAATTTGATCCAACTGTAGATATGTCCCAATCTTTCTCTGTTCCCATTCCACTGTCAGAAGTGGAGATATCTGAGGGCAGTGGTGCAAATTAGTTTGTAGTGTATTACAGGAAAACAGAAAAAAATAATTGAAAAATAAATAGAGTCTTTTCAGCTGAACTACTTCAAGACACACCTGATCTAAGAGCACCAGTATGACATTTTTAGACAATCCTTCATGGAGTGTTCTCCTGGTTCTTAAAAACAAGATTCAAATAAAAATGCAGTAGATTATATGATCTTCAATTAGTAAAGAGAGATCTGGGCATGAAGCACATTTGCAAATCAGGCTGCAGGCAACTAGTTTAAGTACTCCAATTTTATACTACACAAGGAAAGATGACAAGCACAACAGTTCATTCTAGACTTTTAAACCAAATTTTCCCACAAGAGAAATAAATGATTTGTACAAACCTTATAGAAGTTCCCGTATGATTTGCGAATATTGATCCACTTTTTGGCAAAAGAAGGGTATTTGATACGGCTAATACAGCACTGGATGTTCAAAAATTTACTCATATCCCAGGATCTTAAAAAGTCAAAAGAGAAAAGAGAAAAACATTAGTAATACATAATTCAGATGCCATGCATTCTACATATTGTACAGCTGTAGCAGAAAAAGCTCTTTTTTCTTTGGTGATCAGAAGAAGGAAAACAGTTTAGGAAAAGCTTTTTTGCTATAGTCACGGTAAAGAATTTTTTAATATGAATTCGTTAATCATGGGGAAAACAAATAATGACATAAGCAAGATTTTCACTAGGATAGTTTTGGGTCCAGGATGGTAAAAACAAAAAAATAGCTCACCAACTTCTCCACCTGCCACATGTACTCCAAAAACTGCCAATAAACTAGATGCTTACACAGCCCTTGGGGAAGCAAACACCAACTTAAATTTTCCTGATTACTTGGGTACACATGCATCTCTCTACTTAGCATAGGTTACTGAAACAAGACTGCACTCAGTTTTAGGAGAAACCAGACCTCTGTGGAAAAAAGATGAAACTATAACCCCATGCACTTCTAGCCTGCCTTCCTGAAGGGAACTTCCCCAACAAGTTTGTAAGCTTCAAGCTAAAATAAAACCTTTTTTCCCCTCTCTTGCAGCTGTCTACACAATCTCACCTACCTGACAGAGATTTCACCGCTCCTGTTTTCCTTGGGGAATTTCACTGAAGGGTTTCCTCTGGAGGGGAATTCCAGATACATTCTAGCCCCAGTAATATAACCAGTCTTGCACTGGTTTTGCTTTAGCATTTTCTTTTTTTAATTCACTGTTGCTTCCAAAGATAGAAGCACAATCATAGGTTACAAAAAAAATCAGTCAAATAGCAGTATTTACCACGGTTCCTAAAATTAAAGTTGGAATGACACTATTTTGACTCCTTATTTTTAAGGTGTACACATATCTAAACTGTACATCTCAAGTCTTGTGTGACAGCTTTCAAATAGCTTCACCGTTCACACTGGACACAGCCACATTTCAGTGATATGGGTTCTTCACCAGAAAAGACCTGTGATTTATAGCTGTCATCCAAATCTCCAGGAATTTTGAGAAAAAAATCTCATGGGCAAAAAAAATTTTCCCACGCTCTAAATTGGGTGAGTTAAATAAATCTTTTGTTATGTATACATTCATCTCCTACGATACATTGTTTTTCAAACCACTCATATTATAGACCAGAATATTTATTTATCTGTGTTTTACTCAACAGAAGTGTTAGGCAGTCACACTAAGATTGCCCACACTTTTTTCATAAACTACAGTTTTGTTTCAGAGCTCATCTCTTGTTGGTACAGTGGCTGTGTTGAACCAAAGCAGCACAGGACTGCCTTTTTAATCCAGCACAGCACAAGACCTACTCCAGGCAAACAACAGGCACAGCAACATGAAAATGCAACATTCACCTCAACACCCTGTCCTACTAAAATCCCTCATTCCACGAGAAGCAGGAAAGCAGACACGTTAACAGAATAGTAAAGTTTCACGGCTAACAAGCAAGCATCACCTACAGAAAAATCCCCTGGACAGTGCTATATAAGATAAGGCTCAAACACTATCTTTCATCATATAACAAAGCTAAGACCACAAGAACAATACTGCATCACAGATACATCTGGATCTCAAGATCTGTTCACTTTGC